ACACCTACTACAGTTGTTAATAATGAGCAACATTTGTAATTTAGTATTTATGACTTGTGAAGTTGGTTATATTTTGGTGGTTGATTGAACCATTTTCAAGTAGCTGATTCTGGGCATGAATATGTGGAATGTGTTAGGTACAAGCTTGTAGAAGAAGAGTTGACACTGGTTGATGCATCTTCAAGTCGTGAGGTGGCAAGGCTTAAAGCTCCATGGAGATTGTCGAAGGAGAAATTACTCACGGGTTCCTTTTAATGTACATGTTTTGTTTTTCTATAATAAATATTAAGCAATATTAGCAATGTATTTCATTTTACTTACTATTGGAATGATTATTTGTATTTGACATATTAGTGCAATGAATTATCTTTCTTATTTATTGTATTTTATTTTGTAATATGAGACTTCTGAGGTGTTATTTAATTTGAAAATACTAAATCTATCAAAATATATAATTTTTAAAACATTTAAAATTATGACACGCAAAAATGTGTGTCGTCTTTCTTTATGACACGGGATTTAATGATACGCAATGCGAGTCGTAAATGTGTGTCGTCTTCCTTTATGACATGGCCTTCCTTGATACGCATTGCATGTCGTAAATGAGCGTCGTAAATGCGTGTCGTAACTGCGCGTCGTAAATGTACGTCGTAAATAGACGACGTGCAAAAGCGTGTCGTCTCTCGTTATGACAAGGCCTTCCTTGACAAGCATTTGCGCGTCGTCTGAGCGTTTTACGACACGTATTGCGCGTCGTAAAAGGCTGTTTTTCTAGTAGTGAATAGGGGGAGGGGGCATATTTTTTTGGTGTACCATTTGTGAAAAGAGAGTGGAAGGGGTGTTGATGATGTTGAGTTTATGGTGGGTCATATTTTTTTTCTTTTAAGAATTAATATAACCACATAATAATAATAAAAATCATAAAAATATTTCAATTATTTTATGTGGCTTAGGACTAACAATATAAAAAAGAAAACAATAGGGACCATTCATATCAAGAAACGAAGTTAGGGTCGATATGTGCAAGCAGGGGAAACCATAAGAACCGTTTATGCAATTTTATCTACATTAATTGATGGGTTCGATTAATACTACCCTGCTTAGCTTCTCCTGATAATATCTTCTTTCTTCCTTTTTTTCACCTTTCAGGTTCTCATTTTTGTTCAGTTTTATGCAAAAGCCAACAATTAATCTTATAGTTGTTTTTTATTTAAACCTATTTTAATTATATCTCATTCGAATCCATTCGATTAGATTGCGAGAGACGTGGCTGAGTAGGGAGGGAACACGTGGCAACTTCCTCTGGAGCCACAGTGTTCAAATGCACGTCGCGTATAGGAAAGGCGCGACGCGCACCCCCAAAACTCGACTATAAATAGAGGGTTGTGTCATTCACTCCAGCACACCTTCAAAACACTCATCTCTTTCTCTCTGGTTCATGTGTTGCCTCGTGGAGCCGTCCCCAAGAGTTCCGTGCTCGTCTCTACCGTACATCAGCGGTTTCAAACCCTAGAGTGAGTTCACGACCCCTATATTACTGTTTTAAAATGTTTTTCAGGGGGAATACATGCTTAACAAATGATTTTATAAAAATATTTATCTTCTAAATATTAAGTCATTTTATTATAAGCAAGATGCCTTAGGATAGTATAACTGTAGATATTATGCCTAGATATAAGCTATGATCTGTGTATAAAAGATATGAGGCCTAATAATCTAGGAGTAAGTATTACCTAGATGTTATAATGACCAAATCCCTAGGAAACTTTAAGTACCTAGGAGTTATGCTAGACAAGATTTAGGATATGCACTGTACTTATGTAACACTGTAAATTTTCAAACAAATTTTTCATTTTTAAACCATATAAAACTCAATATCACATTTCTCAAAAACCACAAATGTATCAGTTGTCAAAACACAAATCAACAAAATGACTGATAATATCCCAGAATCCTCAAACATAATTTTGAACAGGAGTGTACAATCAAGCCGACGCCTTCCCGCGATCCTGAGAAGTACCTGAAACACATATCACACAACACGGTAAGCACGAAGCTTAGTGAGTTCCCCAAATACCACATATACAAATAGTAAGCCTCTCATAGCTATAGCTCGGCATGGACCCTCCGGTCATGTGTCTCGGTGAGGACCTTCCAGTCTCACGGCTCGGTGTGGACCATCCGGTCATGTGTCCCAGTGAAGACCGTCCAGTCTCACAGCTCGGGTTGGACCCTCCAGTCTTGTATCTCAGTGAAGACCCTCCGGTCTCACAACTTGGTTTGGACCCTCCGGTCCTAACTCAATAAGGCACAAAATAATATAACATATATCACAGAGACAAAATGCATAATATCACATAACTCAATATAAGCACCTAAGATCTCCGGTCGATGACTCAAATAAGACCCTCCGGTCACACAGTATTACTACTCGGGTAAGTATAGTTAGAAGACTCACCTCGTAAGTAAAGCAAGTATGTCTCGTACTCGAACCACCGGTCTAGCCTTCGCCTAACATATATTATTAATTAACTCAAATTAATAAACGACCACCAAAGATGTTAGGCTAAACCCTCTACTAATTCTCAGAAGGATAAAAGACCATTTTACCCTTCCATGGCCTCCAAAGTCCACAGTTTGACCAAACCCAAAAAGTCAACAAAAGTCAACCCAAGCACGTACGATGGGGGTACAACCCTTTACGTTGGGCATACTACTTCACCATGCATGCATCGGGAAATTTCGACGTTACGCTGCGCGTAGCTGGGAGTACGCTTAGCGTACGTCCCATACTTACTTTTTCCACTCTCCTGGTCTTAATCCGTTAAGACCATAGCTATAATCTCTGATCTAGACTCACTAAAGGCTAATACTCCATAAAGTTTGTGACTTTAAGCCTTAGCATGGCTGAGCAAGTCTAAAACTCATAAACTCTCACTCTTTACTCACAAAACTTCTCATATATCATGCATGGGGAGATCTTGACATCCAAGATCCCATTTTTATGAGTCCACTCAACTAGAGACACTTAAAGGGATAAGTATTATGCTCTGGAGTTCAACAAACTCATAAAGCTTCAAGCTCTGGGACATAAACCCTAAAATGAACCACAATATGCACAAATCAAAACAATGAGAAAGCTTTGAGCTTGATACCTCCAAATGATGCACCAACCACATGGAAACTCAGATCCAAAGCTTGGACACCAACTCTACTCTCTTCAAAGCTCCTTCTTCACCCAAAGAATCCAACAAAGATCACTCAAAAGCTTCAAATGGCCACTCAAGCTAAGAAAACGGAAATTAGGGTTTTGAGGGGAGTTGAAGACTGGAAATGGTGGCTAAAAATGGAGCCATCATGTTCCTTAAATAGGGACACACCACAAATTAGGGTTTCCATTCTGGTCCTAGTACGCCCAGCGTACTAGGTAGCTTTCGCGTCCAAATCACGCACATGAGTATGCTGAGCGTACGCCATGCGTACTCAGCTACCACCTTTTCTCAATTAAGGGCCAAACTTGACAACTACAATAAAGTAAGGGCTATTGAGAAATACCTGGTCTCGGGATGTTACAACTTAGTTGTTACGTTGCCTAAATATCCTGTTAAAATAACCTATTTTAATTATATCTCATTCGAATCCATGGATTAGAAGAAATTGATTCAAACCATCCATGTATTCACCAACAAAATGACCGGACATTTAGTTTTTTTTTTGTTTTTTTTTGTTTTGTTTTTTTTTTGGGGGGGGGGGGGGTAATGCTTTCAATGCGTCTGAAGTAATTTCATTATCGGTTAGAGAATAGATAATGAATGTTTTGCTGGCATAGTTTATTCTGACTTGTGATCTTGAGTCTATTACAACATGACAATTATATCACATATGATATGACTAGACACTGTTGCTAGTCTACATAATAATTACACACTTGTTACATAAGACTTTCTGTTATTACAAACTACAAAACTACATGATTATAACTAATAATATATATTGTAAAACATCATTGCTTATGAGTCCTTATTTGTTGTTATTCTTTAGGAAACACCTTTCATGGAAGTGATGGATGAATAACTCCATGATTACAAGTAATAATATATATTGTAAAACATCATTTCTTATGCCTCCTTGTTTGTTGTTATTCTTTAGAAAACACCTTTCATGGAAGTGATGGATGAATAACAACAAACATGCAGTCGTAAGAATGATGTTTTACAATATATATTATTAGTTGTAAGAATGATGTTTTACAATATATATTATTAGTTGTAATCATGAAGTTTTGTTTTGTGGTTTGTAATAATAGAAAGTTTTTTGTAACAAGTGTATGTAATTATTATATAGACTACCAACAGTGTCTAGTCATATCATATGTGATATAATTGTCATGTTGTAATAGACTTTTGTGTATAAATAAGGGTGTTGCCCATTGTGAATAGATCATAGTTGTTTTTTTATTAGACTTCGAGTACTCTCAGAGTTTTCCTCTGTTGAACTTGGATGTTGGATGCACTATGAAAGTTATGATTATAAATGGGGGATGCATATGTTAGCAATACCAATTAGGAAAATCTCTTATGACCTAAAAATACCAAATTACCAAAAAATTGTAGCAAAAAGAAAAACCAAGCCTCGCAGCTTTGACCCAATTCAAGTTGTTCATATTTTAACCTAAAAATACTAATCAAAATGAAAAGAATCTTCTACTTAAGTTTTAATATTTTGCCTAATTCTGTAATTGAATGAGCCGAGCGACCTTTGTTATTGCCAATCTTTAGCAATTGAAGTTATATATAGTGGAGAAGATTAATCCATCCTCCCGTCTGATCTTTGAGGTATACTTGTGAAAATTTTATATTTGTGCTTATGAATGCCAAAATCCAGCAAAAATTTAGGACTTGATCACCCCTAGCGGAGTCGATTGAATGGAGAGAAGATGTTTGATATCGCCAATGTGAAGACTATGTTGACCCATAGGAATTCTCCTAACACCAGACCTGTCAACAACTCAAGAACTTGCAGACATGAATGTTTATAGGCACCCTGAGCTGTGTCCTAGCTGGCACATGCACCTTCGCAAATGCCACCAGCTGTTTGTGTGGACCCCAGTGACCAACCGGTGGGGTCGAGTACACAAGCAGCGTATGTGACCCATCTTTAGACCCTGTATTCTTAACATCCACTTGTAGACCAAGAGAAAGCCCACCACACTTGGCATGCGTCACCCTTATTGCATTGTTAGTAGTAGTTGTATTCTTATGGCGACCGTCAACTGGAACCGTGAAAATTGCAGGAGCAGTAGCGAGCGTGTGAATGAAATTAGAGTAGCTAAAGCCATGACCAAAAGGATACACAAGAAGGGGGCCTTTGTAGAAACGATAAGTCCGACCTGGGTAACCCGTTGCTTCGTTTGATCTCATGTCCATTGTTGTCATTGGCACCTTGGAGAGGTAATCTTGTTTATACCAAGTCATTGGTAGCTTTCCTCCTGGATTATGTGTTCCAAACAACACATCAGCAATGGCAGTGCCTCCAGCTTGGCCAGGGTACCCAACCCAAAGAATGGAAGTGACTTTAGGGTCATGCTCAGCAAAAGACACATCAACAGGCCCTCCAGACATGAGCACCAATATGGTGGGTCCCTTTGATGCTGCAGCAACTTTGGTTACAAGTTCTTGTTGATAACCTGGTAAAAGCAATCCATCTCTGTCTTTGAACTCTGCCTCTATCGACTGGTCCAAACCCATGACCAGAACAGTTGCATCTGCCTGGCGAGCTGCAGTGATGGCATCACCAAACAAATGAGCATTCTTGCAATTCACGTTGGAGCAACCCCTGTGGTGAATGGTTCGTGTGTATCTCCCTATTCCTTGGAGAGGAGTTGTGTATCCACATGCAATACCAGCATAGTTTCCAAATCATTGTAACGGTTACATCTGAATTAGGCCCAATAACAGCAACACTACGGTGGCGTCTTGGGGATAAAGGCAGTGAATTACCATGGTTCTTGAGAAGAACAATCCCTTGTCTTGCTGCTTCCAGGGCAAGCTCCTGATTGCTTCGGGTGCACACATCCCTTGGCCCAAGCTTACCAAACACATCATCGCCTGATCCGTCAAACATCCCTAGTCTCATTTGAACTGTAAGGGTGTTCACTAATGCACTGTCCACATCAATCTCCTTCAACAGACCTCGATCCATTGCACCCTGTGTGTGGATTCCTAGGAATGGCCCACAGTCCAAATCCAAACCTAATTAATTAAAAGAGTACACAAGAAGAAAAAAAAAATAGTGTATATTAGTATAAGCTTATTTTTACTCATTAATTATGTAAACTGAAATATATATTTTGATGATACCTGCTTTGATTGCATCTGCAGCAGCTTCTTCAGGGGTGGCAGTGTAGTGTTGATTATCAAACAATACTCCAACAGAGTCGCAATCTGAGACTATGTACCCATTGAGTCCCCAAGCCCCACGAATGGTGTCACGAAGAAGTCTAGGGTCAGCACAGGTTGGAATCCCGTTGACTTGATTGTAAGAGCACATAACACTTGCCACCTTCCCTTGCATCACACATTCTCTGAATGGTACTTCAAATGTATCTTTCATTTCCTGCTTGCTTACCTGCTCCATTCACATTCACATTCACATTCATTAATTCATATATAGATATATATACTATATAGATATATATATATATATAATATTATATATATATATATATATATATATATATATATATATAATATTATATATATATCATCACACCCACCGAGGCATTCATTAATTATTGGTTCAATATATAGTGACTGTCACTGTCAGTGTACCTATTTCCAAAATAAGAATATCAATCACGATTCGGGTCTCTCGATCATACATTCATACTCATACCGATTATAATAAAATTATTCAATGTAACGACGTGTTTACCTTGGCATTAAAATGGAAGCGATCGACCCCACTCCAGTTATCAAGATCGTAGGCAGTGTAGTGCTTGCAACATGCAGCCACCTTGAGGCGGTCACCGGGGAGGTTACCCTGCAGTCCTCTGACATATCTGGCGGCGTATTCACCGGCGACTATTGGGTCTTCACCGGGAGTCTCTTGGCCTCGTCCCCATCTTGGGTCTCTAAATATGTTCACGTTTGGGCTCCAGTATGTTAATCCTGCCATGCCCTCCATTGTACATTGCTCTGGCTTCATCAGACACCACCTAAACCCCACCCCATATATATAATATATGAATATGATGACAAAATCAAGATTAATGGTGCTGTTGGCAATGCATCTATTGATTAACTAATTGAACTACAAACTTATGTATTTCAACACAGGAAAAAAAATAATAACAAACTTAATTCAGGACAGTTCATTTTCGTAAATGGAAAGTCTTAGAATCTTCTAGCATGTGGTGAGCCTGAGACGTACCGTTATATTTCTATTTTTGTTATAAGTGGTAGTATTTTTTTTTTTTTTCACAAAATAAGCTACGCATATTGCTTTTTAAAAGTCTTTTCCATAAAGGCTGAAAAAAGAAAGGGAATATATACAAGTTATAGGTAAAATTACGTAAATACCCTACCCTTGGTGCATTGCTTTGGAAATATAACTAGCTTGTCAGAGACTTTGATCACCAATCACCACTACCATTTTGAAATGATTATTTTGGTTTAGTTTCATTATTAATTATTTCATTTGTAAATTGTAATAAAGATATGATGATCTAGACTCTAGAGAACTCACCCTACCGATTTCTTCCCATAAAGACGCATTGAAGGAAGCAGCGGTGGTGATGACCTGAGGGAATGCGGTGGCGCCAGGGAAGTCACCACCGAATCTGGTTCCAGGACCCACATTAGAGACCCCATGAAGAGCCTCCGACCAC